TTCAAATTTTAAAAAGTTGAAAAAAAAGAAATTACTATTATCTAAACCATGAGGCTGTTGTTTACTATTCTCTAAACCACTACCAGTTTCACACATAAAGTGATAGGTTGAAAACAAGAAGCCACCTGTGAAACACAAATGGAAAGCACAGCCATGAGCCCCAGTCATTCTCTAGTATTGCAGTCTCTTACCAGCTTACCCTAGAGAACAATTATGTGCACATAAGGGAAGACCTCTGCTCCTTCCATTTTAGCAGAAGCATGAGCTTTCCAAATTCATCAACCACCAACCCACTATGTACTAAGCACCTAACAGAGTTCACGTACCACATCGTGCTCCCAGGTCTGAAAATCTAACATTAATACCAATTAACAGCACTGTGACAAATTCACATCCAAGACCTTTTATTCTAAATATCCAATAAAAACTCCATCACCAACTTGGTATATTTTTAAGTAATGTTTTAATGACATTTTAAATATCATTTTAAAAGCCTAGGTAATTGGCTATAGCGCTCCATAAGTATCTAATTTATAAATAACATGAACACTACCCTAAATTTATACTTATTTCATTCTCAGATTTTGTAACTCCATTCTTTCCTAGCTGCATTTTTTTTATAATTTGGAAAAAAAGTAGTTTTTTACCAAAATTTTTTATAGTCTACTGACAAAGGGAGCAGAGTTGAAGAAAAACTGTGGATCGCTGTTCTCAATCAAAACATTCTACATAACAAATTCAAATGCTTTAAGAAAAAAAAGTAACAGCATGGCTTACACATTTGTCAAGCAAATAAATACAAATATTCTCAAAAGCAAGCTTTTGGTTCATGAACAAATGTTTTGAAAACAATCGAAGCATTATCTACAAATATTTCCTATTCTTAATTATAAAACTAAGTAGAACATCTTGACCAAAAATAACCGACAAGACGGTTGAGATTAATGTAATTCAGTAAGCACACTGATCAGTTTTGCACACTACCAGAGGAGAAAGGTAAAAACCAACCCAGCTATAAAAATCCTTCCATTGACATTGGTGACCTGCCTACATGATACACTGGTACAATAGTGGCTCAAAGCAGGGGAGAACAACCAACCACTATCTGACTGGATTTAAGGCCAACTCCAAGAGTCGAAACCCATGCCTGACACGACTCAGTAATCAAGTACCTGAGATTAGAGAGGCATGAACCTAGAGGAAAACCATATACTGTTCTGCTAAAGGAACATAGCAATAAAATGACTTCAAACAACATTCTGTTATATCCATAGATCACTATCATGCCCGATCATAATCAGAGAAGCTTCCTCCTGCAGTAGATGGGAACAAATACAGGGGTCCATAACTGAACAATGTACAGAGATTAAGACCTTGAACACCCAGTCCTAATTGGGATGTCTCCAACAAATCCCTCCCCTCAGGGCTGAGGGAACTTTGGGGAAGAGAAGATGGGAAAAGCCAGTGAGGATAGAAGACACCAAGGAAACAAGGTCTTATAAACACAACAGGCTTCACTACTGAGAGGAGAAGTGGACACAAGCCACCATACCTAGCCAAGAAGCTATCTCAACTGACAACTGCTTGCAATAGAAAACTTAAGTTTACTCAACAGTCTCTCACTGGGCATACAAACTTAAAGGCTGGCCCCCCGGGACCAGCAGTAGATGGCCACTCAAAAGGAACTCAGTGGTATTTGGGGAGATGTTTTGTCTCACAAAGCTTTGTCTTAGTCATTGTTCTATTGCTGTAAAGAGACATCATGATTAAGGCAATTCTTATGGGGGCTTGCTTATGGTTTCAGAGGGTTAGTCCATTATCATAACGGTGGGGAGCATGGCAACATGCAGACAGGTGCTAGAATAATAGCTGAGAGCTATACCCTGATCCTGACTAAGCATTCAAATATATAAGTCTATGGGGCCATTCTTTTTGGGGGGGAGGGGATTACGAGACAGGGTTTCTCTGTGGCTTTGGAGGCTGTCCTGGAACTAGCTCTTGTAAATTAGGCTGGTCTCGAACTCACAGATCTGCCTGCTTCTGCCTCCTGAGTGCTGGGATTAAAGGCGTGAGCCACCACCTCCCGGCAATGAGGCCATTCTTATTCAAACCACCATACTGATCTTTTGCTTGTGTATTATAGCTTTTGATTTGGTGTTTTCATGAGTTTTCTGTGTGTACTTATGTTTCTGCATATGTATGCGCTTCTCATGCTTTTTCTTTGGTCTTGTTTTTTCTTTTTGTTTGTTTTTCTCTGTTCTTATTTGTTTAGTTTTTATTTGCTTTGTTTTCTAAAGTCAGAGAGAAAGAGGTGTGTAGTTGGATGGGTGGAGAGTTGGGGAGGATATGGGAGATGAGGGAGGAGAAACTGTGATCAGAATAAATTGCATGAAAAAAATCTATTTTCAACTAAAAATATTTTGTAAATTTAAAAGTGTCAGTAAGTTTTCGGTTGCCTATTTTCTGTCTAATATAATGCTAGGTTAAAGAATAATGTGACTTCATATATTTCATATATAATTATACATATGCCCCTTATGAGCATATCAAATCCTAATAAGATGCTAAAATAATGTGATTATACATGTATTTATATACATATACATCTCATGAATAAATATATCCAACAGCAAATAAAAGCATTCTTAAAAGAAGAACAAGATATAAGTCAGTGGGGGAAACTGTCCAGCTATGGATAGTGGGATTGATTATAAAGACCATTTGTGTGTTAATATCTTTATGTAACACTCATGTATACAGTAAAAATATTCTGCTCAACCTAAGTATACTTTATTGCTAGCATTACTACACTGTACTATTTTATTTACTAGAAAGTAAGCCTAATGCATTTTTCAGTTTGTTTTTAAAATAGAATTAAATACATAAAAATTAAATATAAATAAAAATAAAATGAATTCTTTAGGGTCAAAGAGCAAAACCATGAAGACACAAAAGATCAGTGGTCTCTTGGGGAGAGGCACAAATGTTTTAGGCCAGTGAAAAGCCTGTGTGATACTATGATGATTGATTCAGTCTTTACACATTTGTGCAAACCCACAGAATACACAACATGGAAGATGATTCCTAATGTAACTTGTGGACTTTGGATGAGCAGGACTGAGTATGACTCAGGGATATGGCATTTGCCTAGCCTATACAAGGCCCTAGGTTAGATCCCAAAACCACCAAGGAAAAGAAATACTACAACGTTACAGACTGACTTACTGTTAACAAATTATACACCACTCTGGGGGTGGGGGAGTAAGAGTTAAATGAAAGATCTCTATGTTTTCCTCATCTTTTTGCTATGAAACTAAAAGTGATCTTCCAAAGGAGAAATGTGAGCACAAATGATGCTTTAACAAATGGAAAGACATCATATTCTAGGACGGGAGTTTTTTTTGTTTGTTTTTTTTTTTTTTTTTTTTTTTTTGGTTTCTCGAGACAGGGTTTCTCTGTGGCTTTGGAGGCTGTCCTGGCGCTAGCTCTTGTAGACCAGGCTGGTCTCAAACTCAGAGATCCACCTGCCTCTGCCTTCCGAGTGCTGGGATTAAAGGCGTGTGCCACCAACGCCTGGCTGGAGAATTCATTCTTAAGATGTCAACTGTCTCTAAGATAACATAAATTTAGTTAGCAGAATTTAGATAGAGTTGGGGAAGGGGAGAAACTGCACAAGCTAATTTTAAATGGCATATGAAAACAAAATAAGCATGCGATTCTGAAAACAAAAATATGCAAGGCCTAAACCTTTCATATATATTACAAACTCTACAAATTAAACCAGGAGTACTGACATGCAGACAAACCAGTGAGATATGGCTTGGAAATAAGAGCTCAATGCATGTAAGAGTTTTGTGTAAACCAGAACACCTAAAATACTGAACAAAAATTCATTATTTCAGTTGTGTTGGGGCATTTGAGTAGCCAACTGGATCACACATTCCTCACACTATTCACCATGTCAAATCCCAAACAGATTTTAATCTTAAACATAAAGTATTTAGGATTACATATTTATATGTCTTTATAGTATATAAAAATTATAAGGATGTCTATAAAGTATAATTTTAAAATATGCTTATTTCATTAAATATAAAATAGAAAAGTACAAGAAGAAACCCACCCATAACACAATCTATTGATCTCTAACAAAGGAGCAAAGACAATTCAATAAAGAAAGGATCATCTTTTTAATAAAAGGTGCTGGAAAACTGGCCATCCACATGCAACAAATATGAAACACACTGACTCTACACGTTATACATCCCCTATGTAGTGGTATTGCCTTTAACCCCTTCACAGGCTGACACAGAGGTAGAGGCAAGAGTATTAGAAGTTCCATGTCATCCTTGGCTACATACCAAGGATGTTGGATACCAGCCTGGGCTGCACAACACCCTGTCTCCAGAAAGAAACCAAAAGTTGGTAACCTGTGATTGGTAACTCAATTTAAAATACAGTATCAAAAGTATAATCCACTAAAAACATTGTTAGGTTCAACTTCACTATTTAAAAAATAGTATCTGTGCTCTGAAAAAAAGAAAACTATTAAAAGAACAGAGGAAAAGCCACAAACTGAAAGAAAGTATCTAACAAAACATGCATCTGATAAAATGCCTCAATCTAAACGTGTAGCCACCCGCTGGGCGTTGGTGGCACACGCCTTTAATCCTAGCACTCGGGAGGCAGAGGCAGGCGGATCTCTGTGAGTTCGAGGCCAGCCTGGTCTCCAGAGCGAGTGCCAGGATAGACTCCAAAGAAACACTGAGAAATCCTGTCTCAAAAAAACAAACAACAAAAAAAAAGCATGTAAAATATCTGGACAGCACACCAAATAACAGGTAGCCAGTCGGCCACAGAGGACCAGAAATCTCTCATTGCAAAACTGGGACAGCAGTTTTGCTGTTTCTTACTAATTTAACATTATAATCCACAAGTCTTACTCTTATGTATTTATAAACAAAGGGGTGAACACATATCTATGCCCAAAAATCTACACATTGACGTTTACAGCAGCTTTATTCATAATTCCCAAAACTTGGAAGAAACTAATATGCTTAGCAGGTGAATGGGTAAACGGTTGAAAATCCACACAGAAGAATACTATTCAGTGATAAAAAGGAATGTACCATCAAACCATGAAGACATGTAATCATTTATATACTGCTTAAGTAAAAGAAGTCAGTATGTAAAAGCTGTATGCTGTGAGGTTTCATCATGTGACATTGTACAAAGGGAAAAGTTACAGTAACAATAAAAGTATCAGTTGTGAAGTGAGACAGAGTTTTGGAGCAATGAAACTGTTGTGCACAACACTGCAATGGTGTAAACATTATGTATAATACAGAGTGAACACCTAACTATGTTTTGTTAATATTGGTTCACGAAATATGACAGTGTCACACTAATGGCAAGTTGTTATTAGGAAAACCATGTATGGAGAGAAAAGACATGGAAACTATACTCTTAGTTTAATTTCTTATAGCTTTAAACAGTGTATCAATTGGAAACCTCAAAACCCTGGATTTCTTTATAACAAAGGCATAAGAAGATCATTGCTCAATTTAAAGCTCAAAGTCAAAAAAGAAAATATAAATTTGACCACACAATCTTTAGGAGACCACAGTGGTAAATTTCAAATAAAATTCTGGAGTTCTGCTTCTTTTACATAAGATAAGTGGCCTAGAAATGAAGTTTAAAACTCAATAGAAAACTGGTCAGGCAATATTTCAATTCTATTATGATCACTGTGCAAAGGAAAAGGCTGCCTGCTAAGCACTGGGTATTTTAAACTAATGGTTTTTAGCCCATAAAAACAGAACGATTAAAAAAAATAAAAATTAAAAAAACAGAATGACAAATTGAAAAGATATATTCTTTTTCATGGCAATTTACAAGGTACAGCCATGACATTTGGTGTAGTTACTCAATACTTAAATATCATTATTGGAAAATGTTATACAACACTGTATTCCACAAGTCTTTATTATGTCCAAAGCAAGAATGAAGAAATTGCCTCTCTGGTTTCTATTTCTTCACTTTCTCTCCTCCATTTCTTTTCCGTTCAGTGGTTTTGCCCTAAATGTCCCCTGGATGACCTATGTCCAAAATGCGTAGCTGTCCTGCCAGGGGCTGCAGTTCTTGCAGCTGTGTGAGACTGTTAAAGGAGAGACATCCCTGTAAATGGCTCTTCTTCCTTGTCTACTGCAGATGGTGATCAGACTGGGTCTAGGTAGTGTGAGGTGGGGCAGGATGAAAAAGAAATCAAGCATTAAACTAAGTTTGTAGTTTTGCTAACTGACACTGAATTAACTGTTGCTAAGCCCAGTTATTTTCACAGTGTAAACAGTAGGGAGAAAACCACTTCTTTGCTCTACTTCCCTAGATTACACAATGGCCACACAGCAGTTTCTACATGTGTTAAAACAGATCAGATTTTGTGTTGGTTCATCAGGACAATTATCGCAAACCCAAAGTCATGATGGAAACTTAATCAGAGTTGGATACTCAGAGATTAAAAATTTACCTAAGCAAGTGTTGCCCTGGTTCAATCTCTACACACTAGGAAAGAGGCAAGAGAATAGGAAAAAGATTTTGTTCGCCTACTGTACCATAAAGAAAGGGGGCAACTCCAAGATAGTCTTGATTCTTTGTAATAATCAATAGCCAGGTGCACATGGTGCAGACACAAGTGATTACTGTGTCTACTAAAATTTCCCCAAAGGGCTCTTCGCTGCCTGTTTTATAGTCCAAGGAGGCAGGGCTAACAGGCAAGTGTTAGGAGTAACTCAAAATGTCCAAAAAATAAAAATTTTTAAAAAGTAGCTTTTACCAAGGACCTCTGACAACGACTTCTTAGCATAAGTGCCTGGAAGGTGCCTTAGCCAAGGTCTGAGATAAGAGCCTCAAAAAAGAGAGACATACATATGAGTAATATTATATGGACCAAACAGGTTATATTTAGGAATATATATGTATATAGGAATATATATATATATATATATGTGTGTGTGTGTGTGTGTGTGTGTGTGTGTGTGTGCATGCAGTAACAATTAGTAAACAGAGAAAGAGAGAGATCATGAATTTAAAGGTGATCAGGTAAAGATATATGGTAGGTGGGAAGGGAAGGGAGATAAGTTGTAATTACATTATAATCTCAAAAATAAATAACTGAAAAAGCGGGTGCATGGACCCGAATACAGCTGTACATATAAGCACAGCTAGTCTAAAGTAAGTTCTTCAATTGTGGGTATGGGCTTCGGTATCTGACCGTAAGGGTCATGAAAACCTCGACAATAATAAAAGGTTTCTGAAAGCCAAAAACAAAAATTAATTAAAAAACCAAACCCATAACAGACCCAGGTGCTTATGGGAGTACACATCACTTCACTGCAGCCTCCGTCTGGAACACACACTCTCTACTGAGACTGCCAGCACACCAGGCAATGCCAAAGTTTGCTGCCTGAACCACCTCGGGGCACATTCTAGACTTCTACAACCTGCCTTCTTCATGTGTCATACTCCAGCAAAATTAAGCTCTCCACATTATTTCCAAAGCACTTCCCCACTTTCCCCTTCACCAGGCATTTACTCTTAAAGATTTATCACATCCGCTACTTTCTTCAGGAAGCCCACTTAGTAAATACCTACCCCCTACCTAGATGTGACTTGTCCCCTCCCTATGCATCTGAGAAACTGCATACCAGTTTCTCAAGAACAGAAGCCTATTCGGCATCTCCAATGTCTAAAAAATGTCTGGCATGTAACAGGAACATGGTAAGCAAATGACATGGAATTGATGTTCTCTAAGTCAGCATTAGGAATGTACCACTACCACAACAAGATATCAACTATCTCCTCAGCCCAAGCACTTTCGGTGACTGGTGTCTCAGCATCCACAGCCTCTCCCGAGTTAGGACCCGACTGATTAAAAACTCTGGGCCATAGGTGTCCAGTGTGGTCCCACTCTGAAATCTGATGTCAAACCTGGATTCATACTTTGAGGAAAGGCAACCTTAGTGCCCCCTATTGCTTAAAACAATCACCTTTCCCTTTTCCTTCACCCATTTCTGAGTTCAAAACTGCTATCACCTATCTACTGGGGGGTGGCAGTTTCCTGAGACCAGTAGCGTGCCTTCTATTCTAGCTTTTGTTGAACTGCATGCAACCCCACTGGAATTCCTTCTTCACAAGGCAGTCTTTCAGGCTGCAGCTCAGGTCACTACAGTATAAGACCCTCTTTATAGTCAATGTCCAGAACTGGAAAGTCTACAGAGACAAAGTATATGGGGGGGGCACCTTAGGGGTGGGACATAGGAAGATGGGGGTCAAGGTTTTTTATAAAATGAGAAACACTAAAATTGATCCTGGTGATGCTTGTACGTATCAGTAAATACACTAAAAACTACTGAACTATAGACTTTATGTTGAACAGCATATGAATTATATCTCAATAAACTAGTTCCTAAAAAGAAAAAGGTCATCTTTCACCAATTAACTGGCTTTAGGGCTTGTCCTAGCTCGTTTTATGTCAACTTGACCCAAGCTGGAGTCATCTGAAAGAAGGGAACCTCAAATGAGAAAATGACTCCATAAGATCTGGCTGTAGGTCATTTTCTTTATTAGTGATTAATTTATTAATGATAGGGAGGGCTGGTGTTTCTGGGTTCTGTAAGAGAGAAGGCTGAGCAAGCCAGCAAGCAGCTCCCCTCCATGGCCTCCATGTCGGCTTCTGCCTCCAGGTCCCTGTCCTGATTTCCTTCGATAATGGACAGCAATGTGCAAATGTAAGCCAGATGAACCCTTTCCTCCTCAGCTTGCTTTTGGTTCTTAGTGTTTTGTCTCAGCATTAGAAACCCTAACTATGACAAGGTGGTACAAGTGTAGTGGGATATCATTATGACAGACCTGACGGTGTTTTTTGGAGGATTGTGTAAGGACTCCGGAACTTTGGGCCAGAAAAGCCATTTGAGTGTTAAGAGTTCAGTGGGATGGTCTGTAGGAGGTTGGAAGATAAGCATGTTGACAGCAGCGCAGAAGAGGGAGGCCTGCCTGGCTCATGAAGTTTCAGAGGGAAGTGAAGACTCTATTGGAGCCATTTGTTATTCTGAATTAAGACTCTGTGATTCTGGTTAGCTGCGGCTGAAGAACCAACTTTGATTAACAAGGTACTGAAACTACTAAAGCAAAACCTTTGCTTTGCTGGGATACTCAATACTGGTTGGCTAGAGCTAAAATTTAGCAGTGACACCCAAGTGTGTGTATGTGTGTGTGTCCCGAGATACATACACTGACATGTGTATGTGTGTGTCCCCTAAGATCACACACTTGTGTGTGTGTGTGTGTGTGTGTGTGTGTGTGTGTGTGTGTCCTGAGATGAATACACTGACACTTGGGGGGGGGGGTGTTCCCTGAGATGCATGCACTGACATATGGGTGTGTATATGTCCCAAGATGCATACACTGACACATACGTGTGTGTGTGTGTGTGTGTGTGTGTGTGTGTGTGTGTCCTGAGATACACACACTGACACCTGGGTATGTGTGTAACCCCTGAAATGCACACACTGACACCCATCCCCAAAGTGGTAGGATTCAGAGGTGCGGCTTTGAGGAAAGAGTAGATCATGAAAGTAGATCCATTATGGATGAGATTAATAGTCTCATAAAAGAAATCTCAGTTATCCAGGTTCCTTCTGCTCTGAGAGGAAATGGGGATAACAGTCTTCTATGAAATGCAGACCCTCATCTGACACCAAATTAGTCAGTAATATGACATGGATTTTCAGCCTCCAAAACTGAAAAATAGCCGGACGTTGGTGGCACATGCCTTTAATCCCATCACTCAGGAGGCAGAGGTAGGCAGATCTCTGTGAGTTTGAGTCCAGAGCGAGTGCCAGGACAGCCTCCAAAGCTACACAGAGAAACCCTGTCTCGAAAAAAAACAAAAAAAAAAAAAGAAAGAAAGAAAAAGAAAATTCTGCTTTCTATGCCACTTGGTCTGTGGATTCTGTTACAGCATCTCAGACAGACTACAGCATTGAGTAAATACTCACTGCACTAGCAAGCCAATAGCAAGAAAACCTTTCAAATAGAGCATGTCTTCCTGTGTTTTTTGTCACTGAAGAAAAACTTTAGATCCTTGAGTTGAGATGATAAACTGGCGATCTGTCTGAAACTTATGCCTATAAATATGTTAAAACTCTAAAGTATCTCCAAGGATTGTGCTTCTCAAAAGTGGAAATCACCAACAGACAAGCAAATGGGTGCCCCCTGTACTTACAAGAGAACGTGTGCAACGATGGCGTTCACATCAAACAAGGTGTCAGTGGGGAATTCTCTGAGCAGTATGTTGCCTCTAGAAATGTTTTAAGAACATGTTATTGAAGTATCTCCTTACACTCCAATTTGCTTGGCTATCTAGTATCAGTTCTTTGATGTTACAGCCTGTGTTTTGTCTGTGTGCCCCATACACATATCAGACTCTGGTACATACTATTCTCTGAGTATACTCACATAAGCATGTTCATTTTGAAAAGTTTAGGACCTATACTTGGCCAAAAAAAAAAAAAATACTGGGAAAGAAACAAATATAAACCCAAAGGGACTTCCTAATAACATCTCACACACAGGTTTCCAGATTGGCTTGGGAAGTAAACAAGCAGGTGAGAGAAAGTTGCCTGACCAAATAAACAGGCTCTCTCTACTTCTTAGGCCAAATCTCCAGTATAAGATGACAGACTCAACAGCAGAGGAACCAATACCAAGCCACCAGCAGACAGATCCCTCAGGAGGAGAAGGTTCCCAATATAGAGGTGGCAGAGCCACACAGAACACCCAGTCTGCTCTTGCCCAACATTCTGAGGAGTAATTCATAAAAGACACTCAGGGAGTGTTCGATTATGCTCCAGCTTTTGTAAAGAAGCTCAGAAAGGTAAGGAAAAAAACCACTCCTTGGACTTTCTATTAAACTTCCTAAGTCCCCACTAAAGACCACGTTACTCTGGCTCAGTGATGTGTTATGTACTCTTTAGCAGTCTAAACTATTGCTTTGCATTAGTATCACACTCCAAAGACAATTTACCTGAATAAATATGCTTTCATCAAAGCCTCTTCTTTGCCGCAGTACCTTGACGCTTCTTCTTTGACACAATTAACCTGTAAAAGATTATATTTAAGGTTTAAGGTATGTATCACAGGGTCAAGTTTCACGGTGAAGGAAATATAGCCACCTGCCTCCAGGCTAAGATCTGCCTCTCACTCTTCCTGACTCAATGCTTTCATATGCACCCAAGCACTAGATGAAACCACAAAAAGAAACCCTCGTCTGCTACTCAAGGTGATGTTTAATTTTCCACAAGTTTACAATTAACTCAATTTTGCTAAACAATCGGGAGTAAGGAAGTAAAACAGGAAGGTGCACAGGTATGGCTAGTAAGTTCTGCTGGTTCCTAAGCCAAGTCCATCAACCCCTTTACTTTTATTAACAGAACCACTTTGAAAAAAATAAAGTGTCACATTAGAAAGCTTTTTTAGCCTCCACAGCAGGTCAGGATGGCCACAGGGTTCATGCGGCATAGGAGACATCGCTGTGTGAGAATTGATTGATAGTTCTCAAAAGGAGACTGACAGCTTACTCTCAATAAGAATACTAGAGTACCAGAGGCAATCACAAGCATGGGACACCTGCACTCCATTTGCTAAAATGGTGCAATAGGAAGAAAAAACCAAGTCTCCAGTGTTAGAGCTGCTGCACCAAGCCCAGTCCGCTCACAACCCAGACTTAGGTGAGGAAATGTCTGAAAATAAGATGGAAGGTGAGAGGGCACAAAATAAGGAGGCAGGAATGTAAATACAGGCCCAGGACTGGGACCTGGAGGGAGGCCATGAAGACTTAAGAGCCTGATCGTGAAGGCAGAAAGGGAAACTATGAAGAGTGAGTGTATACACACACGCATCACCACACAGAAGCAAGCTGTGAGGAGAGCACACATTTCCAGCTAGGAAGATAAATGGCCACCAAGGTAACTAACCTAAACAAAGGCTGAAGAGGCAGTTATTTTGTTTTGAATTTGGTTATGGGTTTTGTTTGCTTTGATGGAATGAGGTTTTTGTTCTTGCTAGTTTAATTTATTTATGTGGAATTTGAGGAAACAATGAAAGCTGTTTGTTTTTTAAAAAAAAAAAAGTATAAAAGGGGAACTGATAGGGAAGATAAGGAACAGAAAATGAGAATTGAGTCAGCTATCACCAAAAGAACTTTAGTGGACATAAGGTTTTAACATTAAAGCTTTGGACTTTATGACAAGAGATCCATGTACTCATCCACTATAGTCTGAACATCTTCCATTATGTTAGTCACTGGGAATACAGTTAAGTCCCAAATAAAAAAAAATTTATTTTGAACTTACATTTTAAAAGTATAAACATCAAATAATTAATATATAAAGCTAAGTACCATACAAAGGGACAGGACACACCAGACCACTTGAGATAGCTAACTGAGGAAGGCTTCTCTGAGGAGGTAACATTGGCATTATAAGGATGGCAGGGAGACACAGACATAGATAAATGTGCGTATGAGGTGAAAATACCTGCAAAGGTCCTGTAGTAATGGCACCTTTGGCAGACACATGAGACAGAAAAATGAACCATGTGCTTCAGGAACATAAAGAAGGTAGGGGACAGAAAACGAATCACCGACAAGGCAGTCTCTGCAACACTCAGGGTTTTAGTCTACTGTGACTATAACTGGAAGCCTCTCTGTCATCAGACACGGAGAGGAGTCTGTAGCGGGGGAAGAGTGAGAGGAAACAGCCAGTGACTAGGACAGCACTATGGTCCCTCGGTGACATGATGACCAGGAGACTAAGAGTGAAGTACGAGAGCAGCTGAGTCTGAAAAGTTTGAACAGAACCTAGTGGTCTAGGGACTGGTTAGGAGAGAAAGAAAAGTCAAAGATGACTAAAGGGCTTTTGTTTGTTTCAAAAACCAATTTGATTCAGTCACAAAACACTTTTAAGTAGCATAAAGTTGGACTTGGTTACTTTGTCCAAGTTGAGAATATTTCTCTTAACCAGAATTATTTAGTCCACTTATATTTCAGCTCTACCCAGCCTGGAGAAGCCATTGGCAACTAATGGTAGCTGAGGGATAGGCAGTCATTTTCTTCGGTGGTGTAACCACTAGTTAGATGCTCCACTAAATAAGCCCTGACTCTCATCATTCAAGCAAGCTAACTAAACTCAGTGAGTGTGTGCGCGTGCACGCTCACAACAAAGACAACTATGTTTTGGTGTTTTCTTAATCTACCTGTCTCTGTCAATCTTAATTTTTTAAAACATTCTCAAATGCTACTCCTCTCCAACACCACTGTGACTTTCTCTCAGCACTTCCTTTCTTTAACATGGGACTGGATTTGGATAGCCCTTATGATAATGATTCCATTCTTCTCGTTACTAAGATGATCTGTGAATGTGCTGTATCCCCATATTTACAATATGTCCTTTCCAAAGAAAAGGACTAGGTCTTGGTCATCTAAAGAACACTCGATACAGTAAACTCATTTCACTGTGTAAATATAGTTACTATTTCTTATGTGGCAAGGACTGAGCTAAATGTTCAGGATGAGCCTGTGAGTCACCATCTTCTCTCAGGAAATCTCAGTGTTCTCAACCATAAAAATCAAAAGTTTCAAGTTACATCAGTTAGTAAGTGCAGCCTAAGCACAGATCCTAATATTCTCCCCCAACCACATAAGTCTAGGTTCTTCTCTAGCTGTGACTAGATAAATAGCACAGCCATGCCTTTGAGCATCGTGGAAGCACTATTTCATTTCTAAAGTTTATTCTTATTTTATGTCCATGAGTGTATGCACATATGTATGTGTATCACATGTGTGCCTGGTGCTGATGGAAGTCAGAAGAGGGCATCAGATCCCCTGGAACTGGAGTTGTCAGTGTTGGGAACTGAACTAGATCCAATGCAACAGCAGCCAGTGCTCATAACCACTGAGCATCTCCAGCCCATCACTTATGAATTTTTTTGTTTAAATTTTTACCCAGAGGTCATGGGAGATGAGTGCTGGTAACATTCTAGAACAGAGTCAGTAAGTAAACAAAGCATCTACACAGAAAGAACTGACATGCCTAAAGGATGGAGTTTGTAGTATAATTGGGTTTTTGTAAAGTACATACTGTCCTAAGGTCCTGCAGGAAGTCTACCACAGACACTAGGAGTGACAACAGTCATCTCTGGGAGAAGGGTGGTAGCTGAACTGAGAACGAATAAATGTAGGAGAAAGTGAGTAGGCACTAATCTGAAAAGAGCGACAATCACTGGGAGACTTCTCATGTAAAGTTAATGCAAGTCTGAGATGTTACCCAACCCGCTAAATGTGAAAAATGTCCATAAAACTCCATGGCAAATTTGAACAATTTTTGAAAAAAAAAATGTTTTCAAATGACTTGTTCTAATTTATTCTAAACAATGTCCAAACTATAGCATAAACAATTATAAAAACTAAGAAGTCAAAAAATTTTAATCACCTTCATTTTTCCTCCCATTTATACTAATAGAAATTTAATAAGCAGCCAAATTGTGGCTATTGTGAAATATTTCTAGGACAAAAGAGAACAAAAGCCTACCATGGCTTGAAAATACCCTGAGAAAATGGGTTATGAAATGCAGTTAAGTTCTCACAGCTGGGGGATTCAGCCAGCTTCTTTTCTCTTCATGCACTGTTACATAACCATGTGAAGTTATCTTTCTGTGCTTAGGTAAGAAGCCAGAAAAAAAAGAAAAAAAAAACAAAACAAAAAAAAAACATTTTTTCTCAGTTTGGAAAAAGGTATGAAGTTAATGTGTTTTTCAATATGCAGTCTTAGGTCATACTATTGTAAATGACTGTCACTGATAATTTATTAACATAAGTATCTGTCTACCTTTGAGACTGAAATCCCATAGTCCTGGAGAGGTCTAATGGCTTCTTTTAGTTCTTCAAGAAACAGAGAGTTACTTAGAGAACCTACAATAAGAAATGTTGAATGAATTACTTGTGAATCTACTCTTCTACAAGATGAATATTTAATATTACAGGGAAAATCTGAACACACAAAAAAATTATGTGATTGGCCTTCAAAATGACAAGTAAACACATCCAGTGACACATTTTCCTATTGTTTCTTTATTTGTATTTCTACTATCACAATATAATTTTGTAAATTATCTTAAAACTTATTTAAAAAAAAAATTTCAAGCCAGGCAATGGTGGCACACATCTTTAATCCCAGCACACGGGATTAAAGGCAGAGGCAGACAGATCTCTGTAAATTCAAGGCCAGCCTGGTCTACAGAGCCAGTTCCAGGACAGTCAGGGCTACACAAAGAAACCCTGTGTCAAAATTCAAAAAAAAAAGAAAGAAAGAAAGAAAGAAAGAAAGAAAGAAAGAAAGAAAGAAAGAAAGAAAGAACTAAAAAAAGTTTAAATCTAATGTGGTATTATCCCTCCAAGTTTAACACCATATACACAGTTCTTAAACACACATTAAAAAAACTTTCAAAATGACTTTAAAATCCCAAATCATTGCCAGGCGTTGGGTGGCACACGCCTTTAATCCCAGCACTCGGGAGGCAAGGGTAGGTGGATCTCTGTGAGTTCGAGACCAGCCTGGTCTACAAGAGCTAGTTCCAGGACAGCCTCTAAAGCCACAAAGAAACCCTGTCTCAAAAAACCAAATAAATAAATAAATAAATAAATAAAGATAAATAGATAAATAAATAAATAAAATCACAAATCACAAGTAGAATTAAAGGACGGCTAGAGATGTGAAGTCATTGTGGTAATTCCAATACAATTGTACTGTTACTGGCATAAAGACTTAAATGAAACCATCACAATTATGTTCAATATTCATGTTAATTAACTCAATATAATTAACGACACAGCCAAAGCAGAATAGAGAATGCTAAGCTAAAGCACTGCTAAAACTACATACCCACCTTTTACAAAACTGCAAAAATAGCTACGTGTAAAGAAAATAAGCAAGTATTCCTCCGGAAATGACTGAATGAAAGAAACCCAGACAGCTGAACTAGTGTTTTCTATGAAGTAAGCATATGTGTAAACCAACATTTAATCCTCATACTAAAGTTAGTAGCAATCACCACTACATCAGAGCTGATGAGCCAAGAAACAGAAAAGCTAAGGTGCTTAGATTCTTTCTTCCAAGCAGGTAGATCACAGAAACAGCTTTATACTATTGCAACTGACCAAAGTTCCCACTGAGTGTAATGATGAAAATGAAATGAATTATCACAAGAGACAAGTAAAAATTGTAAAATATACTTACCAACTTGACAAAAATAAGCTAAAGAGGCTTTTCCTGGCTGCAGTGTGCTGAAATACTGCTGAGGACTCAGTTCTGGGAGAGGGTCTTCAGTTGACTTGTAAAAACTGCACATCAAAACCAATGCGACCCCGGCTCTAAATACCACGAAGTCAGAAGACATCATGAGCTGTAGCTGGTTATGTGTGCCAAGAGACGTGTCTGTTGTCTTCACTGCTGTGTTCTACTGCCTCAAGAGATACCTGGCACAGAGTAGGAGATCAACAATGTTCTTTAGATGGATTTGTTAAATGAAGGAAGTTAAAGACACCAGATGAATAGTTAAATCACTACATTACTTGATTTTACTAGAATTTTATTTCCTTCTAGTAAGAAAGAAACCCTGGGGGGTAATATATAAGGACACTGCACTGATAATACTTTGATTTCATTTTATATCTTCACAGTGCTGGGGACTGGGTAGTTTAAGGAAGTACTGTATCACTAAGAGCTAGCTAGCTACATTACCAGGCCTTGGAGTGGGCATGTTGTTGTTGATTTTTGTGTTTGGTTTTTTGAGACAAGGTTCTAGTTTGTAGCACAGGCTTGCCTCAAATTCACAGCAACCCTGTTGCTGCCTTTTGGATTATAGTCATTCAATACCATACTCAGCTTAATTTTTGATAATTGCAAAAGAAATCAAGGATATCTACAAAATGCTTAAGTTTCACGGATATTTACTACAGTAAATTAAGCTGACATTTTAGACATTCTAAAATTAATTGAAAATATTATCCAGTCCTTTATTTTTTAATTGCTTGTGTTAGACAATGGACTCAAAACCTTGTACAAGCTAGGCAAGCACTCTACCACTAATTTTTAGCCCCAGCCATCTACTTTGAAGTCAAGCTATCACAAGCTGTCCAAGCTGGCCTTGAACTTATGATCTTCCTGCCCCAGCCTCCTGAGTAGCTGGGAATACAGGCCTGTATCACCAAGCCTAGTTCTACTCATTTTTAAAATTAGACATTTTGTTTGATCCATTTACAGCTAGTGTGCAACAAATACTCCAGCAACTGCTGAACACCATTTGGCTGGGAAGGAGACATCCAAAGTCTGTTATGGGTTTACTACCTTTTAAATCTCCCACAAGAAATCTATTCCAATTATGCAACAACATTCTTTCTGAACATATGCCTACTTTAATGCTTAGGACATACTATTTTACACTGCTTATACAAAGAAATTGTTCTCAACTGACTAATCCAGTCCTACTTTCTGAACCCAGTTTGGTCTAGCCAGCCACCCTCCTGTCAACTTTCTTGGTACATTTATTACTTTTCTCCTTTTCTTGCTGTTAGTCTTGTTTGCTGTTCTGCAGTTTTGTTTTGCTTTGTTTTCTTCTTAAACAACTCCAGGAGTTTTTCCTGCTGACAGTTTTAAACTGTCAAAGTTTAAAAGATAGCTTAGGCAAGCACTTTACCACAGAGTTACATTCCCAGCCTCTAGGGAAGTTAAGATTATATAAAACTACCATATTTACAAAGAGCAAAGGTACACTCACAGGTACAGGTGAGAATTTTCACCTTTTAATTTGAAATAGGACCTCTATATTTCAAATACAAGAACACCACTTTAAAATAAGTAATGAAAACAGCAAAATTATTTCTATAGACTCCTACGAGTAAGGGCAGAACTTTTCAGCAAAGAATAAGATGACAACTTTATGAAGAAATCATAAAGCACTGGATACATGCTCCATTCATCCAAAATTATCAACAAGACACTTCTCCCTAGAAAGCAAGTGTTCTTAAAAAAAATGAGACTAATGATTCATGAATTACTTAATACTTCTGAAATTCATTAGACCATGTTACTATCACTGAACAGATTTGCCTTCAGTTTTTAATTGTGTTTAAAAAAACTAAAGTAAAATGAAAAGTGACAGTTGCATATAAAAATGCAATCTTAATGATACCTAACTAAAAGGTATCCTTAACATTAAAATCAATTATACATTCTAGCCATTGTAAGCAACCTATTTCAGGGCTGCTTTATATTAATGGGAACATTTTAAAATAGGTCACCCACTATTTTCTTCATATTCTAGAGGAAACTGCATGTATTTCTGTGGCTAAGGGAATAACTATAGAGCATTCATTCCTATATGAAATAACAATAACCTAATTAAACTGCAAAGTATTAGGTTAAATTGCAATTGAAAGATCAAGCATCAATTATTTCCTTGTCTTGAGTCTACAATTCAATTACTCTAGCCTAAATTGGACATTAGAGTTGATAGTTGTTCCTCTCCCCTTCAACGTGCTGCAAAGCTCCAACGGTTTGACTGTACATTCAAAGCAAACTTGAGATGCCTTTTATCTAACTGGAGAGATGAGAATACATGTGTGGAAGTGCTGTTCAACTGATCAGGTAGGGACCAGAGAAAGGAATGTATCAGTCATCTCTCAATCATTCCACCTTTGATAATATTTGACCGACAATTTAAAAATTACATAAAGCATAGAGTATTTGGCATCCACTAGTTGACTAGCTAGGAGACAGAAAGGAAATACAAAGAGGGACAAGGGGACAGAAGGTTTAATATATCTCAGAACACCAAAAGCCAAAGTTATTGAAAATAGTTGTCTATGTCAAAACACATAATAACCAACTGAGAGCAATTCTCTCTAAAGACAAACAAAAACTGAGGCAAGGATAGATGTCAAGGGAACTTCTGAAACCCACAAAGCCATTTCTTTCCTTCTTTTCTTTTCTTTTCTTAGCTTTTTCAGACATGATCTTACTATGTAGCCTAGTTTGGCTTCATGGTCATCCTCCTGCCTCAGCCTCCAGATTGCTAGGATTACAGGCATGTGCTGTAATCATACCCAGCTCGCATCGCTTCCTTAAATAAATCATCTCCTTTTATTTTAAAAGTTATTATTTACACTCTTCTCTGTCTTCAGGTCTTACAATCTTTCACCTTTCTTTTTTTTGCATGTAAATAAATTTCCACAGCTTCTATTATTAATCTAATCAACCCTATCCAGCCACAAAAAAATAAAATGGACAAACCCACCTGTGGGAAATAAAAAGCATTTGCTCAGAGTCTTGCTCTCCTTACTCAAGGACCTTTAAACTAAAGGATGGAGAATGTGGGTGGGAAAGACTACCAGCAATCACAAAGTAAAAACAAAGATTTGGAGGATATGTAGTGGCAGTCCTGCCTCCAGTCACAGAGTGAAAACAAAGATATGGAAGATATTTAGTGATAACCTCCTCCAGCCCCAGCAACTAGAATAGGCACCAAAAAGCAGTGCTTTGGACTTCAAAAATCTACACACCTACACAAATTGATGAGAGCCACGGGAGAAATGTGACTTGGCTCCTTGGGTGCTGTAGATCCTTGGTTCCTGCCTCTTCACAGGTATAAAGCAGGTTTCAATGAGCTTCCGAATTCTATCTCTGCTGAAGTTTTTTGTGACACCATGTGATTTCACTGTGCAGAAGGGAGTTAAGGGAAAGAGGAATATCAGGCAACAATTTCAACAGCTAGTATGTGGCAGGCATACTTTGTTTCCTCCTATCAAAGCCACCAGAAATGCTCAAAATGGTAGCTATCTTGTTGATGTGAACACCACACAGACAACCCTAGCTAATGTGTCATGAGCTTAAGGAAGAATTGTAAAACTTTAAGCCGTCAAGATTTGAGGGGCTACTTCTGCAGCATAAAGCTGCCTGTGTCCGTTGGTACACAAGCTACAAATGAGCAGCTGCCTTAACAAAAACTCTGAAGCACTGGCTAGGAGATCAAGCAGAGCTCAAAACTGGTCAGGGCTTCATGAGAACAGGCTTATCAGACACTGACATCAATGAATGAGCCACACCAAGTTGACAAAGCTGTGGCTACAGTAATCTGAAGATCATATGTAGCCAATGAATCTACAATGGGTGTGTGCCAAGATTCTTGCACCTAATGAGCTTGTTTCAAAGCACTAAGAGAAAGGGATTGGAAACAGAAGACGCATACTGAATAGTAACTGCTATAGGTTGTATTTGACAATGTATGCAGAGAGAGAGAGATTCTGGGGAGTTCCAGCAAAGATAGGCATTACACAAACACAAATTGTAGCTTAGACCCATACTATCCATACATAAACACAAATTGTAATTTAGACTCACACTATTCCATGCAAAAAGAAGCATGCTCATCAAATCACTCGGCCTCAAAAAGAGGCCATATACTCCAAAGCCAGTTTGAGATGTGACCAAGATAAAGATAAAACTATTCGTTTTTATCTCTCTCACAGGACAAAGCCAAAGTCCACGAAGAACTATGCACTAGGGCACTCAGAATGAGAACTGCTTGTTGCTGATCTGAGTAAGTGCTGCTGCGCACTCAGGTTCTCTGAAGAAACTGCAACTGTATAAAGCTCCTGCAGCATGCCTGAAAGACAAAATGTCATAAAACAAGAGCCCAAATCATCCCAAACTACCTCTTGTCCCTTTCAATCACCACTTAATATCCACCTGTGTATCTGACTTAACATCTTCAATGTTTGGAATGTAAGTAGTCTCCACCAACCCTAAAACCAAGGAGATAAAAGAAAACATCTAAATGCTACAGATTCCCTTGCCTTGTTACAGTTCACCTGATGACCCTGCCCTTATACTATTGCATAAACATACTGACTTACGGCTTTCTTTTCATTTTATCATAATTGCTCGTGTATGTGCATGATCATATACAGATGGGTAGTAATAATAGCTGTGCCTGGTAAACTACTGGCCCAGAACGTGCAATACAATACAGATCTTAAACCCCTGTGCAATAGGCACTTGGTGAGTGGAGGGTGGGTAAACAAAACTCTTCTTAGGCAGAGCATAGGAAAGGGGGTATTTAGGATGCTCCAGTAAATACTCCACAAGAACACTGAATGATGAAATGTTCACTCTGAGAACACAGGATTCCCTCTTAATCTTCCTCATTTTTACTGATTTGCTACCAAATATAAAAAAATAGGTAACAAATTACATGCAGTGGCCCAATATACAGTGTCATTTATTTAAAACACAATATAACGTTTATTTTTGTACCTCTTGGTCTCAAATGAAAATAGCACCACCTGCTCCTACACACAAGACGAATATAAATGGAATACCCCTCTAATTCTTCCATTCTAGACAATCACCAAACTGTTACTGCTCCTCCCGCCCCGCCCCGCCCCATATTTTATGCCAAGGACATCTTTCCAAATTGCAGGTTTCAAAGAATCACCTTCCCCTTAACATTCATCTATTCCCAGTACCACCCGTACTTAAGGGCCATTTCCCAAGAGATTACTTACAGTTTCAGCTCACGCTTTACTTCACTCACTTCCTTCGCCTATGTTTCCTCCTACTCACCCAGAAAAAAAGGAAATCATGATGATGATGATAAATAAACCAAAACAAGACTCCTTCGGCGCCCCAGAACGGGCGTACTAAATCAGAAGCTCCGCAAACAGCCTTGCTAGCGGAACGTTGCCCGATGCGGACGTGCATGCAACCCTGCAGGCAGAATCTCGAGGCCCGCTGCCACCCACCTGCTGGAGACCTGCGCGCAGGACCTTCCTGCCATGAACCATTGGTCTCTGAGGACAGCACTTCCCGCCACCCGAGAGGAGGCGGAGCCAGAAGGCGGGGCCGCGGCTGGTTCCCAAGGCAGCCCGCAAACGACTACGCCTACCTGATAGAGCTCGCCGCCCACGGCCGCCACTGCCTGCGCAAAATCGGTCTCCTGGGCAAAAAACAATCATCGAGGCTCCGCCTTCTCCTCGTGCTCCTTACGTAAGAGATCCTGCAACCAATGGAAGGCCGACGGGGCGGAGCGAGAGAGGCCCTAGGTGACAGAATCTGGAGTCCT